GTCAAATGTCTGACTTTCAGTCAGCAGCGATATTTTATTTGTGAAACGCGAAAATAAATTAATAAAGTGTATCTACGTGTCACATGGGCGTATATGCACGCTCTTCACAGTGAAAGGGTTAATAATATAATTTGCTCTACGAATATTGAATTTCTCTCGTATTCATGAGATATTTAGACCTCTTTGAATAACTATGAATCGACTTTCTGCGAATCGACTGTATATCGAAGAAATATTTTAATTTTATTTATACAAATAAAATCAGGAAGATGTGTAAGACACAAAAATTGAGAAATACCAAATTCCTTCACCAATACCATCTAAAAGGGTGTAAATTACCATAAGTTGGGATAGTAAGAGGAAAAAGTTGAGCCGTGAACTCCATTAGCAAAAAGAATCATTCATTCCTCGAGTTATAAAGTTTAGGGTTTCAAGGCTTAATTAAACTCTACAGGGCAACTCTCGACGAAAATCTCTTCGGAAAGAAATATTCTCTCTGCTGACTCTTCCGTGTAGTAAGAAATCCGTTCAACAAGTGGGAGATCGTAAAACTGTCAAATATATTTCCGTGAGTTTTAGTTATGAAATCATCGTTTTTGTTTGCGAGAGATAATCAAGTGAAAATGTCGATTTATAGAAAAATCAACCCAAAAATAATCTAGCTCTACTAATACCTTCATTTTTTATCTTACACACGGCTCGATATACTTGAATCCTAAATTCTTGTCAAATCAATTTTTTAATTTTATTTTTAAGCGAAAAAAGGATATTTTATAATAAATTTGCACGTTTTACTTTCCAGAAATGTGTAACAATATGATATTAGAAATGTTTCTTGCATCGTGGATATTTTCCACGAAAAGAGTTAATCATAAATTAACAAAAGCTTGTTCTCTCGAAAAAACAATTGTATTCATTATATATATTCCTATGTATCTGTGAAACGAATATCTGGAAAATTTAGTTATCGAGACGTTGTATTATAACACTTTCTACAATAACGAAATAAAAACTCTGGATAAAACACGAACACGTTTCAACGAGAATGTTGTGCATTGAAATATACGTATGCAATGATTATTTAATAATTTACGAAAGTTTGTTGCTCCGATTACTCACAAAACGCCAACGTTTTTAACCCTTCATATTTCACACGATTTTGCCAATATTGATTAAACAGAAACTCGGATCCTTAAATTGAGCGAATATGTTCTCGTCTCGATTTTATTTATCATAAATAACATTCAATATTTATTCGACTTTTGGGATTATTCGAACGCATTTATTTATCTCCAGAAATATTTCAGCCAAGTATTCTGCAAATTTCAACACTATCGATCTGTTTTTCCAGAAATACAGATTTTATCGTGCTTTTTGTTCATTATAACCGATATTGAATATTTGCTTTCGTGTCTTTGTTACAATAATGGTATTTGGTTTCTAATTCCATTTTCTACTATTTTTAAAAAAATTTTCAATCAATCGTATTTTAGAATACGTACATATTCAATACTTCACGTCGTTTAACGTAAAAAGAAGTTATATATAACATTCATGAACATAATATTGAAAACTACTACTCGTAAATTGGAGCCCAAATTGTTTGTAAAAAAATGGCGGGAAAGTTAGAATTTAAAAAAAAGAAAAGAACGTACTAATGTTAATTAATATCTGTCTCACGAATCGATATCTACTTTCCGCTAATTAAAGTGGTATAACCTGACAAGGAAAAGTTGATAAAACTCGTCGAAGAATTGAGATTAATATTCGTACCCAGACAGGAGCTTTTTAGAAAATCTCATATCGTTATCGTACGTGTGCGATACATTTGAAAACGTTCGAAAATAGAATGGAAAAAAGGGGACAACGATGAATCATGTATCTGATGACGTACAGTTGATACTTTTTTTGGGGGGGAAGACATATGAGATACATATTGGCGATTCGATTTTATAGTTACTGGTTTTCTGCTCTGTTTTCATCTAACTCTTTAACAGCCACCGTTTCAACTCCGCATAAATCTACTTTCCAAGCTACCGCTATTTTTAATATATTCTAGACTGTTTCATTGGTAATACCGTTTTTTATAGAAATAATTCTTGTAATTTTTCATGCGAACAACTAATCTTTTTGTACAAATAATTCTCCACGAATTTGACGCACGAAATGATACGTGGTTTGATTACAGCGATTTCATGTCGAGGATAATAAATGGGTTGTTTTAAGTTTCTTTTTTTACAAATAGTGAAAAATGGAGTTACTGTGAAACAGCCTAATGTAAAGCACATGCTACTTTGGTACTGAAACCTAGCAGCGATTGGACGGCCAGTTCGCCACGATTTATCGCAAACATTGGAGTATAAAAGAAATCGAAGTGTGAGCATTTGTACAGAGTGTTTCAACGTTATACGGATAAATTTTAGGGACTCTCCTGGAGAAAAACACCGAATAAAAGTAAAAAGATGTTATTTGTTAAATTTAGTTTAGTTAATGCAGCTATCTGTCCTCGCTGTATTTTTATGAACTAAAAGTTGTATTAGATACTGTTATCACGGTGCAAGAAATGGCTCCATTAATACCAACAGAAATTCTAAATAATTTCCCGATTAAAGAAGGAAGTAAAATATTCTGTTAGAAAGTACCGTTTTACAATTGGAAATAAGCTTTAAAATAAGTCAAACGAATAAGTCAATCACTATAGCCAAATTACAAAAATGTACAGGATGTCTCATTTAAACGAAGCCCCCTAAATATCTCTTTCAGTTATGTTAATGCAAAAAGTATTCCGCATTCGATAGTGTCTAAGGACCAATACGCCATAAAAAATATTTCTGTCTCAAGCTCACCGATGTTTCTTGCACATAAATGCACATTTTCTTCTCTTACATACTGTAGGAATTGACATTAAAAATGCTTTCAGAAATTAACAACGACATGACCATGAATTGTCTTCTAAAGCCTCCGAAAAAGTAACCTTGAAGCAAAAGTATTCTTTGCACCTAAAATTGTTATCGAGGCTTTCAGGTGTAAGCCGTGTCTTTATGGAAAAAAAATATTCGAATGAATGAAATTGAATGAAAATTTAAAATACACGTTTTGTAGATCTATGCCAAATACTCACATGCCGAAAATTTCATCGAAATCGGTTATTACGTGAAATAGTGCGATTTCCTAACCAATTTCAATGAAATTTCCAGCATGTGTTTAATTGACACAGATCTACAAAACGTATGTTTCAAATTTTCATTACAAGCTCAGATAAGAAAGTTGGAAACCAAGTGACCTTCACAATTTTCTTCGCGATTCTCACAAATTGCAATTTTTCCCAAATTTTTTCTACACGCCATCTAGCAAACTAATCCTTCTAACTTCTAAAAGAAGAAACCTCAAGTCGTTTGGCCCAATTCTCAAAAAGTTACTCTATTTCGAAGAGTGTCCAGAATACAGTAATTTCTCTACAAGTGTCAGTCAGTTTGGATTCTACAAGTGTCAGTATAGATGGTCCTACGCCTAGGTCTGCGTCATTGCTGCGCCTATGTTATCTCGCTCGTTGTCAGCCAAGCGTGTAACGCCACACCACTCGGTTTCTTTTACGAGATTTCACGGCTCGACAATTCATAATAGAAAAATATAATTTCCTTAATTTTACTTTTTTTCATCTGAAATTTTTTTTAACACGTTGGTGAGATTTTTCCGATGAAAATGATATCAAACACGATATAATTTGAACAACATTTACTTATTATGTCGTGTTTGATATCATTTTCATCAGAAAAATCTCATCAATATGTTAAGAAAAATTTCGGGATAAAAAAACGTAAAATTAAAAAAGTTGGTATATAAATCGCTTGGTTGCCTCGACTCACGTTTCATCCTTATCTTTTATTCGCTGTCCTTGTCTACGTTCGGCAAACTACAAAGGCGGGCGCGAGGCTCGAAAACGTAGTCCCTGACTCTACAAGTGTCCGGTTTAGATTCCTTGCGGACTGACACTTGTGGAGAATTTACTGTATTTCTGTCGTTGACTGTACGACTCCATCGTCCTCAAAGAGCTAAGTAACTTCGTTCAATCGAGACACCCTGTACACCCTAGCCAAACGACACAAGCCAAGCCAACAGGTCTGAAACACTCTGTATCTCCCGGAAAATCCGTGGCACGAAGCGAACGGGCCGAACGCTCTACTACGTCTAGCACAGTCTCGTGTCACAGTCGTGATCATGTATATATATATACACAGTGGAAGAGAAACAATATGCACGAACTTCTCGCAAGCTATCGTCAGCTATTCTGCAAGCTATTCTTTCTCTCATTCTTTCCTTTTTCTCTCATTCCGTATGGCGCGTTTCCTTTCATTTCTTTTTTTTTCTCTTTTCCCTCCATCTTTCTTTCTTTCTTTTCTTTCTTTCTCTCTCGACCTTCTCTTCTCTTTTATTTCTTTTCCACGCGCGTGTCTCTCGTTACCGAACCAACCACACCTTCCGGTCGAGAAGGTCCAGGAGAAACGAAACATGGACACGGCACGGGGGGACAGAGAGAGAGAGAAACAGATTAAGGGAACCGCGTGGCGGATGAAGGGGGGAAATAGTACGGAAGGCGGGAGAAAGTTTGAAGTGACACGCGGAGGGGGGCTGCCACACGTTTTTTCGTTCATGTGTACAGCGCTTCTATCGGGCTGATGGGTGAAAATGGATGTCGTACAGAGACAGAGAGAGAGAGAGAGATGCTTGGTGATGGTGGCGGCTGCTGCGGTGGTTTTCTTTTTCATAGCTGGCAGTGGTGCAGTTAAATGCAGTGCTGTGAGGTGCAGGCACACGCGCATATAAGTAGTGCAGTAGTAGTAATAGTAGTAGTAGTGATGGTAGTAGTAGTAGTAGTAGTAGGTAGTAGTAGTAGTAGATAAGGTAGTCCATTACAGGCGGACACAGGTTAATGGTAAAATAGTTACCCGGGCCTTGGCGCCGCCAGAGTGATCTCCGCTCGCGGAGGAGGAAGGACTCACCCGGTATCCACCGAGGTTGCTCACCACGCAGGTGAAGGTTGCGTCTCGACCCTGCGGGATCGTTATGTTCCCCAACGGGTAAAGGAAGTCTGGCTCGAGCCCCGTCACTGGAACAGTCAATTGGTGGTTTTTTTTTTTTTTTATCAGAACATGTTCGAACGATCTTCGTGTCTCTTTGCTTGGGAAATGCGGGTCGTTTGGAAGGTTGCGTATGGAAAGGGTATTTGGTTTACTTTTTTATTTCAATTGAAAAGTTTGAAATGTGGAGTTTGTGGAGTGAGTAGTGGATTGGGTAGAGGGTTTTTATTTGGTATTGTTGAGGAAGTTTAATTTTGAAATGAAAAGGAGTGGATGATATTAGTGATGGTGTTTTGGAAAATTTGGTATTGTCAAAGAAATTGAGTTTGGAAAAGGATTAAAGGGTTATTTAAAACTGAGTGGAAGATATTAGTGGTGGTATTTTGGAAAATTTGGTATTGTCAAAGAAATTGAAGTTTTTATTTGGTATTATTAAGGAAATTGAATTTTGAAAAGGATCAAAAGGAGTGGATGATATTAGTGTTGGTGTTTTTGAAAATTTGGTATTGTCAATGAAATTGAATTTCGAAAAGGATTAAAAAGTTTCTCAAAACTGAGTGGACGATATTAGTTTTGGTGTTTTTGAAAATTTGGTACCTTTTAGGAAATTGAATTTGGAAAAGAATCAAAAGGAGTGGATGGTATTAGTGTTGGTGTTTTTGAAAATTTGGTATTGTCAATGAAATTGAATTTCGAAAAGGATTAAAAAGTTTCTCAAAACTGAGTGGACGATATTAGTTTTGGTGTTTTTGAAAATTTGGTATCTTTTAGGAAATTGAATTTGGAAAAGAATCAAAAGGAGTGGATGGTATTAGTGTTGGTGTTTTTGAAAATTGGTATTGTTAAGGGAATTGAATTTGGAAAAGAATCAAAAGGAGTGGATGGTATTAGTGTTGGTGTTTTTGAAAATTGGTATTGTTAAGGGAATTGAATTTGGAAACGAATCAAAAGGAGTGGATGATATTAGTGTTGGTGTTTTGGAAAATTTGGTATTTTTAAGGGAATTGAATTTGGAAAAGGATCAAAAGGTTAATTAAAATTAAGTGAAAGATATTAGTGCTGTTGTTTTGGAAAGTTTGATATTGTCAAAGAAATTGAATTTCGAAAAGGATTAAAAAGTTTCTCAAAACTGAGTGGAAGATATTAATGTTGATATTTTGGAAAATTTGGTGTTGTCAACTAAATCGTACCTTGAAAAGCATCAAAAGTTTACTCAAAATAGTGTTTCAAAGACTACATATGAAAAAGGTACTTCGAATCTTTTCGTTTCCTTTTTTTTTGAAATTGAAAAGTTTGGTTCGTAGTTTTTGTAGAATGAATACTGAATTGAATAGAGTTTTATTTCGTATCGTTAAATAAATTGAATATCGAAAAGGATCGAAAGGTTACTCAAAACTGAGTGGATGATATTAGCGCTGATATTTTAGAAAATTTGATATTGTCAAAGAAATTGGATCTCGAAAAAGATCAAAAGGTTACTCAAAACTGAATGAATGATATTAGTGCTGACGTTTTCAAAAAGGATCATCAAAAGGTTACTCACAACGGAGTGAAGGAAATGAATTTCTATCTTTTGGAAATTTTTTTGAAAACGAAGTGATCGTGATGAACGAAGAAGTGCAGAATGTATTGAAAGTGCGTGAATATTTAACATATACGACGAATGAGACACGAAAAGAAGAGAACAGATAAACGTGGATCTGGGAGGAACACAGACAAATTTCACAATTATTCCGAAGTAGTTTTAACAACACAGAAAGATTTCGTAAACAGCTTTATGGGCATGCGAAATTTTAATGAAAAGGAATATATAGCGGGATTAAAGTGGAATATATGTCAACCAAAGAGAGGTATGTAGTAACGATGTGCAATAGCTCGAAAGTCTACAAAATAGGATATATGGGAATAATAAAAACCAATACGTAAAACGAGCAAGCCGCGTATTGTGAATCGGATTGACTTTTTCTTCGTACCCCAAAAAACTTGTTTTCTAGTCAGAGCACACACAGCTATGCTTGTGATTAATTTCTTAAATTGACTTCGTGTCGATTTTCGCAGTTAATTAATTATCTCGAATATACAATGAGAAGCATTTGAAACCTTTTAAATCTGTGTTTTTTTGTTTCTTCTTTATCTGGTTATCTCTTTTTCTTCGTCTACTTAATTTCGTGCTTTACAAACATTCTGTGTATAATTGGACAAATATTGAAGTACTTATAAAAACTGAAGCATTGAAATGAACTTTTTCTTTTGTTAGATGAAAATTTGAAATTTACTTCATTTCACTTTTTTAAGAAAATGTATTAGAAATGTATTGGAAAATTTTTCAATTTTCTAAAATTATATGTAATACATTGAGGAGTGTTTTAATAAACGATACCTTTCTGATTTATGCTGGAAATGAAAATTTACGAATTACAAGAAGATACAAATTTTAATTTTCGTAATTTTCGAGTTTCTCGTAAACTTTATCGAAATTAATATTTTTTTTTTTTGTTAAATGAAAATTTGAAATTTATTTCATCTCATTAGAAAATTTTCCAATTTTCAAGGATTATATATAGTACACTGACGAGTGTTTTAATAAACGATACCTTCCTGCTTTGTGCTGGAAATGAAAATTTACGAATTGCAAGAAGATTCAAGTAATCTTCGAATTTCGCTTCTTACAATTCCAAGTTTTTCAACTATATTCACAATATTGTTACATCGTAATGACTCTTAATAAATCCAACTTTGAATTTCTTCGAAATGGAATACTGTAATTCCGTAAAAATTCCCTGATACTCGTGTAAATACTGAAATAATATTCCGTTACTAAAAACTTTTCATCTGGCGTTACACGAAGAAATGGTAAGTTTCACAGACTATTAAACTATTTTACAACTCAGCGTTCGTGCCGTAAACTGCAAAGGCCCGTTCGATTACGGATACGAGGAATTTTTCATAAAAGAAAAGAAGAAAGGACAGACTGTTCTCACGGAGCCAATAATAATTAACCGTGCGGAAAAATGACGGTGTGCATAAAAGGAGGCTCGAAAAGGAGTCTAATTTTCAGAGACTTCAGGCTTTCTTAAGAGAATGTTATCTGCAAAGCAAGCAACGTCGAAAAGTTTTACTGGTGCACACTTTGGATGCTTTATCTCCGCTGGTACAGAGGCGCCACGGAAAATTCTGCTCCTCGAGATTTTCATTTTATCCTCTACCTTGAAGAGAATTCTGCTACATCTCGCGAAACGTTTTTCTCTTCTTTTTTCTTTTCTCTTTACCCTAGCAAGTAGGCGTGATTTGACAATGAGTTTCGTGTAACAAGGTGTCGTAATTGTCGATGAAAATTCGGGGTGTATTTTGTGGGTGAATTAAGAAATTTGATTAATTAATTGAAGGTTTCAAAGGGAAGATCGTTTGTACAGTAAGTACGTGAGTATTAGGACATTTCGCGAATGTGAAGTATACTGAAAGATACTGAATTCTACTGAAATTTATTAAACTCCGCTGAAATCTACCAAAATTTACCAAAATCTACTAAAATCTGCTGAAATCTACTGAACTCTACTGAGGTCTAACAAAAACCAAAATCTACTGTAATCTACTGAAATTTGATGAACTCTGCTGAAATCTATCAAAAATCAAAATCTACTGAAATCTCAAGTCTATTGAAATCTACTGAACTCTACTGAAATTTGATAAAAACCAAAAACCTACTAAAATCTATCGAAATCTGAATTCTACTAAAATCTACCGAACTCTACTGAGGTCTAACAAAAACCAAAATCTACTGAAATCTCAAGTCTATTGAAATCTACTGAACTCTACTGAAATCTAAGAAAAACCAAGATCTACTAAAATCTACCGAAATCTGAATTCTACTGAAATTTGCTGAACTCTGCTGAAATCTAACAAAAACCAAAATCTACTGAAATCTCAAGTCTACTGAAATCTACTGAACTCTACTGAAATTTGATAAAAACCAAGATCTACTAAAATCTACCGAAATCTGAATTCTATTGAAATCTGCCGAACTCTACTGAAATCTAACAAAAACCAAAATCTACTGAAATCTCAAGTCTATTGAAATCTACTGAACTCTACTGAAATCTAAGAAAAACCAAGATCTACTAAAATCTACCGAAATCTGAATTCTACTGAAATTTGCTGAACTCTGCTGAAATCTAACAAAAACCAAAATCTACTGAAATCTCAAGTCTATTGAAATCTACTGAACTCTACTGAAATCTAAGAAAAACCAAGATCTACTAAAATCTACCGAAATCTGAATTCTATTGAAATCTACTGAACTCTACTGAAATCTAAGAAAAACCAAGATCTACTAAAATCTACCGAAATCTGAATTCTATTGAAATCTACTGAACTCTACTGAAATCTAACAAAAATCAAAATCTACTGAAATCTCAAGTCTATTGAAATCTACTGAACTCTACTGAAATCTAAGAAAAACCAAGATCCACTAAAATCTACCGAAATCTGAATTCTATTGAAATCTACTGAACTCTACTGAAATCTAACAAAAATCAAAATTTACTAATACCTGAATTCCATTAAAATCTACTGTATTCTACCAATATTTAGAGAAATCATTTGATGCCTACGAAAATCTATTAAAATCTTACTGAATGCGAAGCAAGCGTCATTGTCGTTAAAAATTTAACACAAAATTATTTAACTCACAAAAGTTACCACAAAATCATTAAAATTCCAAAAAACATTGTCCTATACTAATACACATAATACATAAGTAAAAGGTTGCTCCACAATAACATAAAAATTTTTATATACCAATATGACACTAATTTTGGCGCGAAAATGTAATTCAAATTGTATAATACTTTCTACACGAACACAACGTGTGTCCTAGTACTCACAAGCGACAATGAACGTGCTACCGGAGAAATTGATATTCAGAAAATGTTACTCGGCACTGCGGAACCGGCGGAAACTGAAAATTTAAAGGCTGTAAGGGATTAAAAAGTAAATTTGTGGGAGGAAACGTTCACTGTAAAAGAAAAAG